TCTACCATAGTCAGCATAGCATTAGGCAACATTCCATTCGAATTCCAATCGTATACTCGATAGTTGACGATCCACAACGATCTAACGTTCAAGTCCAATCTGAGTAGTAATTTTTTTTTTTTTTTTTTTTTTTTTTTTTTTTTTTTTTTTTTTTTTTCTAGAATAAATCTATCCAATGTCCCATATCGGTAATTGATCGTCTGTCGCACGATGTAACCGAAGAACCTGCCGTAAATGAAAATAATAAATAGTGAAAACTTGTAACTGGCCCTCGAATGATCTTACGCTTGGGTTGGGAATTCGGAACCGGGACATGGAAACTTCACGAAGAATATGGCTGCCGTCGGCGTATCGCTGAGGCTCTGGCGCGTATTCCCCACTTTTAGTTTCAGGCCGGTTCCCGTTTCCCACTCTGCTCAACGCATTTCTACCGCTGCCATGTTACTGCACGGATACGTATACGTATTACCACTCCTTCCACCTATCGAGAGGATCCCTACTCTTACTGAATGGCGACTCGCGCTCGGCTCTGCTCGGCGACTCCGACTTGCACGGAGCACGAACAGGTCCAGCGTAACCTAACCTGACTTTGAGTTCGTCAAACCTTCTCCCGACTAACGCGACGAGCGCCACTTGCCTCGAATGCACCGCGTGCCGCCATGTTACCTTGGCTCTTGATGTTTCTTTAGGTTTTACTTACCCGCGTTTATAACGCATTGACAGACATCGGGATCCTCGTGTATTTGAAAATCGAGATTAATTTGGTAAATAGCTATTTATGCAATTGTTTAAATTTCCCGCCTTTTTCGGAAAATCTTTCTTAGGCCATTATGCCGATAAAATGGGAATCGATGATATAATTAATTGATAATGTTATCGACGTTGCCGTAATCACTCGAATTTGTCGTTAGGTGTATTTATTAAAAATTAAAATATCGCGTGCATAGAATAAATATTTTTTATTCTTTTACAATCGTTACCAGCATCTCTGCCGGTCCATGGTATAGGGTTGAGAGTAAGTGTAATTTTCATATCAAACAATCGACGCTAACGCAATATAAGCGAGGTCGACCTTTTTGACTTGACTGTAGTTCAGAGTAGGAAAGGAACTGTTGCAAATATATATATATATATATATACATATATGTGTATATATGAAATGCGTGGTCCTGCAATGTATAGCACGAGTTGATATATCGCATGCATGATTACTGCATACGGTGCACACATGCTCTGGGAATGGAGATGGAGTCGAAGATCGAGACGTTGTTGCCTATGCATACTGAAGCGAGCGGGTATACCAGTCAGCCATTTTGAATTCCTTTAGTTTCTGCAGCGTGCCTCCGACAGGCACTGCGCCTCGGATACGCGCTCCTTTTATTAACATTTTTTTCTTTCTCTTATTTTTGGTATGTCAAAAACCCGAAGCCCACGGCAATATTGTTGATAGTTGATGTTGCAGCTGCGTTTCGTCTCACAATTCCATGCCACTGCAGAACCAGCCTGACGGCAGATTCTTCGACGTTTTACAGTTTGCAGTTTCCATTTCTCTCCTGGACCGTAAGACGTATTTATTTGCGTATAACGTTCTCCACTTGTATGCTACATCTTTTGTGGGGCTCTTTGTCGTCTCTTTGTTTCCTCTTAGAACTGCTTTACCACTGTCCTGACAGAGTGATCTTTAGGGCTTGGGTTTTGTTACCGGAACGATATACGAAATTGCTCGGAAAAGTTACAATATGTGTATAATTTGTATTTTTAGTGTTTTTCATTTCTGACATTTCGTTTATTTTATTTATTTAGATCAATCCGTTATGGAACTATTTAATGGTCGCTCTTTTTTTTTTTTGGGTAACCTTGGCAAGCTTTATGGTGACCATACTGTTGCAGGTTGGTCTGGTTATGGGTTTTAAAAAAAATGGTTCGGTCCATTGACCTTAGGATATAAAAATTCCACTTAAACTTCAGCTTACCTGTGACGTGTCGTAGCTTTTCAATTTTTTGAATTTATTCCTCGATGTATGACATCGTTGCAGTTTTACTTTTTTTTTTATTTTATTTTTTTAAATTTTCTCTCGCTTATCTTTTTTGTGTATCATTATTATTAATATCATTATCGATATTATTATTTCACAATAATTGCAGTTACCAGCAGGTTAGGCGGCAATGAAAAATATTTTCTTTAGTTTTCTTTAAATATTCTATAGGAAATGCAAGTACTGAATATAGTTTAATTCATGACTTACTGGTTATCTCGAACTTTCGAGAACAATGCCTTCGTATTTTTTAAACTTATTTTCATTCTTATACGTAATTGCGTAATTGCACAGATATATATTTGAAAGTCAATGCGCCTCCTGTGGTCTTCGTAATTTCAATTCTTCCATCGCACTGCTATACGCATTAGGTGCTGCACGTAGCATAAAGACACGCGTATATGTTCATTAGCGAAAAGAATGATTAAGAGAAAATTTATCGAGCGTGCATCCACATTAGCATACCTGCATCGTTGTAGTTTATAATTCCATTGGACTCACCGCTAACAAATGGCTCCATCAAAGGTGCCTTTGGGTATATTCATACACTGCGCCAACTTACCGCCGGTTCTTTAATGGCTGCGCACAGTGAATTTCCATTTCCACGTATAGGATATTTTTGGAAATGGCATTTCCTCGTTATGCCAAGTGGCAAAAAAGTCCTTCCGGTCTGGAAAAGGTTCGGAGGTGTCAAAGCTGCGCGACTAAATTAAACCAGCTTTTTATTGTACATTGCTTACTATTTTAAGCGAAACCTGTAAGTTTATTTCTAAGCTGGCCGATCCGATTCAAAATATTCTCTGTCCACAAGGGACGCCAATGGCGCGTCTGCAACCTGCACCGATTATTTGTACTACAAAAATAGATTCGTATATCAACTTCCTAGGCGCGTTGTCTGCCTAATATATATTCGTATCGGATGATTTATGTCATATCTATAGAGATTATACATGTGCGATTTATTTTAGAGTAAGAACGGATTTTTGTATATTAATTATTATCATGAAGCTGATAATGATTTTTTAGTAGGTTGTACAATCTTTTTTCTGACTTGATTAGAATTAGGTTTAGAAAAGCATTCGCTGTTTGGGAAGTAACGTGTTCGAGGGTATGATGAGATGTAACTATATTAATTTAACGAAAAATCAAGCTATAAAATACGATATAAAATGTATCCTTTTTGTAATAATAAGAAAAAAGTTCGTTTTCTGCGAGTATGCGAAAGTTTTAGCGGCACTTTAATCACAAAGGTAAATAACCGCGTCTGTATTTTCGCGGCCATGTTGGATCGCGTTCCTCGACGACGTTGGCCTATAAAAAAAGTTGGATTCCTTCGTGGCCGTAATTGGGTGGCATCGGGCGGGTAATCGCAGCCGTCGCAATGTCCCGCGTTCCTTTTTTCTTTTCCTTTTTTTTCCTTCTTTTTCGTTCTCGACTCGTCTTCTTCTCCTGGAAGCCATGCTGATTTCGAGAGAGAGAGAGAGAGAGAGAGAGAGAGAGCGCGCACTCGAGACTCGCCGCCACCATGTTTAGCTAATGCAATCTCGACTCTTGAGCTCGACCCTTTGTTTATGCGAGAGGCGCCTCAAATTTATGAGGCCACTCTTCTTTTCTTCTCGGGAAAATAACTTTTCATCTTCGTTGTGGGGTTACTCGCCCTCTTATTTATACACCCCCCTCGCCCCCGCTAGTACCTTGAATCTTTCTGGACACCCCCTTACTACCCGTGGTCCTTATACGTTTTCGTAATAAGCACCGTGAAACTGCCGTGAGATACGTTCCGAATCTTCTTATCTATCCTGGATTCCTTCCTTACCGACGATGGCGTTGGCAGTTTTCACCGTTTCGCGTTAGATGGTGCTAGTGTCGCAACGACAGATTCTCGAATCAGGACCAACGCTTTTTCCCCAAATTCACTCTTTCCGTAGATGGTAACCTTATATAAAAAAGAAATTAAGACATTCGAATGCTTTTGTGCTTCAATCTTGTCGGATTTCAAAAACCGAATCGACTTCTATTTTTGGCTATGTATAATTTTTTATACGTTTCCACGTATATCGGCGTGTCTACCGATCATTGTTATACAGCAAATTCAGTAGCTTACAAAAGTGAGAGCTTGTTCTAAAGTACGAAGTGCACGTGAATTCTTGAAGAAAGTGGAGCATGCTGCTGCTTTTTGTTTATTCTTTATTGCGAACGGGATCTCTATTTTATTGATGTCGCAAAAGGATGAGAAGTACCGGCACTGAGAATTGCCCGTTCGAGCCTGTTGCTGCTGGCTTCCGGTACCGTTGTCTTCCGGCCGTTCGTTCCGATCGAGCAACTTCACCTTCGAGAGACTCGCGACGATTTTTCTTTAATACTAAAAATAGCAAGTTGCGTTTACAGCTTCCTCCGCGAGGCACGAATCCCAGTGTAGGCCGGAAGTCCAGGATGTTAACAGGTTCCCATATTTAATAGTCTATAAAACGACAGATACAGTGCGACACTGTTCGAATTATTTATCAGTCGTCTCATAGAGTCACTCCAAAATTAGTGCTTTCGACAATTTGTAACTCCATAAAGCATGGCCTAGGTTTACTGTGAACACGACTTCCCATAGACACGTGTAGGTCGCTTTCTTTAAAATATATTATGAATAATTAGTGCTACTCATTACTGCGATCCATTAGCTAATGATCGATACTGTTTGTTTCCTCAATGCTAAATTCACACGTTTTTCAACTATTGATCATATATGTATAGGCATTCATTTGGTATAGGTTCAATTCATTCGCGATACTGTACAATTGATATATATCATTTCATTATTATTTATAATTTTTTAGGCAAGTCTGACTACTATTCTAATAGGACATATAAAGCATTAATACGAACCACAGTAACTTAATTTTACTTACCGTAACTTCTTGAATTTTAAACGTTGAATTATAAATTTGCACAAATTTTTGTAAAATTTACACGTGCTAAAATTTATGCTCTTCACACTGTCCAATAGTTCGTATATGTAGATACGAATACTCTTACGTATATGAATGGTCCTGTTGGAAAATTACAGAAATCCTAGTTAATTAAGTCAATTTGGCCCACCACTTAGGCTGTTATAATGCGGGACGGGTGTAGAATTGGAGAGGTTGTGATTAAGGGAGAAGGGATGCTGTACGACGGTAAAGGATCGAGGGTTTGTGCCCAAAATCAGTTCAAACTCAAGAAGAAAAAAGTTATAAATTTATAGATCGAATTTTATGAAATTATCCAAAAAGCTAAGTATTTGTTTACGTACACATCGGTCATGTGTATGGATGATGTGATATAGCAACAATAATGTATGAGCCTTGTGAATTTCTTTCGTCAACGTACAAGTGTAGAACTGTACAAAAAAATAGTGAAGAAATTTTACCTTATTCGGAAAGACATTACCAAATACGATGAAAAAGATCTACCGGTATCTGGAGCACAGTTTATAATACGATCGGTTTTACGAGCCTACTTTATGGTTTTATGAAACTCAACGTCGGTAATACAGTTTGATGATACATGAGTTCTGTGCCTCTGTGCCGCAAATTAGAAGGTCCGCATTCAGGGTCGATATTTATGAGTTTAATTAGCGATCCCAGTCATCTGAAAGCCATTTGGGTACAATAAGAGGCTGTCCAAGTTCGCGTTTCCGGGCGATTAATCGACTATGTGAACTCGACTGTTTGAATTTCGGTCATTGCTCGTTTCATCGTCGTCACTCGCCTGTTACCTAAAACGCCAGAGACATTATCGTCGTCCGACAAGAAACCGGAAGTTCATCGCCGAAAAGTAAAGTACGATAATCCAAATTGTTCAATGGATTCGAAAACTTTTTTCAGTCGAAATTTAAACTGCAAACTTCTTATAGCCACCCCGTCTAGAAACGTCATTGAGAAATTAACGACTGGAGAGACCAGGTGGTTTCGTAAAATAGATTAGAGTATCAATAAGGGGTGACCCAATAAGCATGGTTAAAAACTAATTAGGAGTAACATCCAGTAAAATATTGAACGTAGGACAGACAATTTCCGAGCGAAGATCGCAACCCCTATGTCTGGAGTAGTAGGAAGGTCAGAAAGGGTTGGAAAATTTCCTTGCTATCGCAGCCCCCGCCAGGCAATCTGAATGCGCGCGATTGCCGGAGTAATTTGAAATTGGAAGGTGGTTCGGTGCTGTGGGAGACTAAGGGCAGCTGGTATGGGGTAGCAGAAGGACCAGCAGGGGGTTGGAATATCCTCCTACCAATCTCGAAGAGCGCTCCGTTTCTGCCAAGATATTGCAGATATAGGTGGGATATCTCGCTCTCTCTCGGCATACCTAGTGCTCTCGACGGTGCCATTCATTTTTATACCCCTCGTTTCCATCTCCGTTCCATTTACTTTCTTAAAAAGATTTCATCGCGACTCTCCTTCTATTTTCCGTAACAATGATGCCCACCCCTCCGGAGACCCTCGGCTGCCTTTTCCGAGGCCCCGAGTCGAGACTTACCTTCTTCTTACTTTCCCGGGGGGTCGAGGTGAGGAGAGAGAAAAAAAATGCAAAGTTGCCCTCTCGGCATTATTTATCGCGCCCCCTTTCTCCCCTATCTGACGTAGACTCCCTTACCGCCGAGGCCTCCCGTTCTCCGTGCTCGGTAAGGCACCTTTACTATAGCAAGCACTACCCCTGCCGCGCCATACTCTACCAGTCTACTACCCCATTCTAAGCTATACCCCCAGAGCGCAAACCCTGCTAGCAAGGAGGCTCCACCTCTCGTCTCTTCCTACTTTGCCAACCCCTAACTACCAACCCCTTGCTGCTTGCCAAATCCTCCCTGAGGCTCGGTTTTACGTTGTACGTGCCTGGATACTTTCGCCCTTTTTTTTTCAGGATATCGAAAGGGCTTCGCGTCTTTTCTTCAGATTTTGCCACTTCGCGTATTGGGATCTTATCATTGGGTTTTTTTTTTTTTAAATCTTATTTAACGTAACGCATGCTTTTGTACGTTTCGTTCGCGATCCGTAAATCACGAGAAGACCAATACTCGGAATATGAAAATAATAATGATTGGGAATATTATTGAATAATTTTAATGTCTTAATTTAGTCAATAAAATTCTTTCCCCGAAATTTAAAGACTTTTAATGATACAAGTTACTAGTGTAAAAGAGACATTGACAAATCTTAGACGCAACAACTCAAAAATGTTTGTGCCCGAAAACAGTAAGCAATATAAAAAAAAAAAAGCCTCGAGCCAACGACGTATCGGCGTCCCGAGCGTCTGGCCTGAGTTTCACGAGCCTACAAAGAAAACTGTGTATCACTATGGGAATCGTCTAGAACGTGGGTACCAAAACCACCATAAGGGATGAGTGTCTCAAGACAAGGGATTCGCTGTATCCATCTTCCCCAAGGCACTTTTCACGCCCTCACGGCTGAGTAACGTGTGAGAAACCCAACACGTTAAAGAGAGAGAGACAGAAGAAAGAGCAACAAGAGACCATCCCAACGATAGAAGAAACGCATAGGGCCTGGAAAGCGTAAACATAACTAAGACTATCCGATATAGTAAATGCATCCCTTGTGCCGAAAATAACGATATACATAAATAAATCGAATTGAGCTAAAAGCTCGAAGAAAAATTGAAGTAGACGCCATTTACGGTAACTCTACTTACGAAAACGAACCTCGCTCGAGTCTCTCGTACCTACACAAACCCTCGAGGACTGTATACGTGGGGATAAATATTCATTCTCCTCTCTGTTCAATCTCAATAGGGGGTTGGCTTAGGTACGATAGGTTAGATAAGTGGCCGGACCCATGTTGGTACTTGCAATACGTTTGAGAGCTTGCTGGAAGGCGGCAGACACTCTCATCCGAAAATCGATTAGGTACACTCCGGAGTCTGAAGAGGTTCTCCAGCTAGACTACTATTCCTCCTATGTACTCTTCTTTCATTACATAAGCATACTACATACATATGTATATACTAGTGGGAGGTGGCCATTTACCGATGCTCGCGTATACCTGTATATATCATCACGAGACGTATATATCTGTCCGTCTATATATCCAGTGTAAGGACAGCCTGGCGAAGCAAGCCGAGGAGCATAGAGTTCAGAATTAGAGAAATGGGTAGCGACGAAGGAGGAGATCCTGGCTGCTGTATAAAGTACCGTGGCAGATATATACGTGTGGATAGAGGTGGAACCTCCAGAAGGAATGGAGAGGTGGGATACGGTAGGGACTTGGGGGGTTGGAACTGGCTGCCTCTCATTAAGTTAAATTGTCTCTCAGGATGAGCTTCCTTAATTACTTACCCGTCCCCGCCAACTCCGTTTCTCTCAGGACGCCAGTCACTGCCGCCTTTTACACGTACACGTGTATATGGAACTTCTATATAGCAGACATAGACTGTATATACGTTTTTGTTTATCTATGTACAACCCACAGGAATATTTTATCCTTCGTTCAGATAAACGTAAACGACGATTCTGGCTGCCAGACAGGTAGGTGTACCTTATACAGACTCTCCATTACCCGATTCTGAAACCTATGAAATTATAATAAACTTCTGAACCGTTAAGTCTTCTTTCTTCTTCGTCCTGACCTAATTGGGGCAGTTCTCATTCACGGGGTGGAAATCGAATTTCAGGTGTGTCCAACTATATATATATATATATATATATTTTATCATCACATCCCCTTGGTATCCCATCAGTTGCGCCAACTCTATGTACCATCAGACTGTACCTAGCTACAGTCTGTTGTATATATATATACATACCTATCTGACGCCATACTGAGCCAACCGTATACCTATTCTGCTTCACCGTTCAATTTCGTGGAAACGAGTTTATTCGATCCCGCCAAGTTTAATCTGACTCTCGTCATCTTTTCTTCGGCGCCCCTCGGGCGATTTCGCTCAACTCTTCGTCACGGGTATAGTCCCTTCGATTTTCGTTAAAGTTTAATGTAAGTATCCAAGGTACTGGGTGTTTAGATAGTACTCTAATGGTTGGCACACCCATTTCTTTTTTACCTTAAGTTTCAGGATTAAGACTAAAAGTTGATACGTCGTTGTAGGTTTCATCACAGGTTAGGTAGACTTTGCGTATAGAGTTTTGATCTTTCTTTTTTCTGCTGGGAAAAAATGTCTTACTCACCATCTTGCGTTATGGATATACACGTACTCGCTGTGACGGAGCACGTTAACTTCGTCGTAATGGATCTCTTAGCGCCGCCCTGCCTTTGAATATCCTCTACATTGACGATAGCACCGCCACCTTAGCCCCAGGGTTTCGTCTATTCGAGAACGTCCCGCTGGGCTAGTAAGTACCCCGTATCCATCTCGTGGAATACGTTGGCACTTTGGTCACGAGTCTACAGGGTGTTTCATTAAATGCCATTATTCGCAGTCCCATCTATCTCTCTTTCTTTCTGCTTATCCTCCGCTCTGGCAATGGTGTCTGTATCGGTTTCGCGAAATATACGAAGATCCGTATCTTCTACGTTAAATTCACTTGATTGTTATTTATATTTGACGGTGAACCGAGGAAAAACTAAAAAAAAATGTAACAAAAGTTTTTCAAAATCAAAATTTATCAGCGTCTTTTACATGCTTCTAGAAACTTTGAAGGGATCTCATACTGTAGTCATTGTGGTGAGATATTTTGAGATATTCAAAGCAGAACAGAAGCAGCAAACAGAAAAGATGACAAATAATCACATTGTGACGTATGTATATTTTATATACCTTATAAAATTGCAAAAGGAGTCTGAGGGATCTTGCATCTAAATATGCTAATATGGCCGACACTACGTAATGAGTTTCTCGCAATACCTTTGCCCGGAGGACTGTTATGCATACATATTCAGCCATAAACACAACTCGGATTGCTATATATGACGTTGCGAGATCCGTAAGGTGGTCATCAAATTAATGCGTGTCCATATAATGTAACAATGTCTTTTCATTGGTCCATTAAAGTTTTTAATCTCAAAGATATCGCAGCATCCTTCCACGTCAATTTTCATCTGCAGTATCATGTTTCTTTTTTTTTTTAATCTCTTTCATCCTACGCGCCATCGTACAGCTCCAACTAAAATGCAAAATGCGTACGAAAACAGTAGAAAACGTTTATCGACTCATCTGGTACACGAATATCATATAGATTAATACTGGTGCACAGAATGCGAACGTAGGTTCCGTAATTTCCGTAGGCACCTACCCTATACATACCTCTCTACCCTATATCCGGGCCCGCGTCTATCCCCGTTCCCCGACGTCCATCACATTTTCAATTTCCACCACGTTTCCCGTTTCCGGCTCCCGGCTGCTTCCTTGCTCCGATCATCCTGGACTCCGCGTCGTCCCATTGGTCCTGCCCAGAAGGCACCATGGTCACTTACACCAATGTTCGCCACCACTCGTCCTACAGATATATAAATATTGTATATAACCATTCCATGCGTTGATACCAGTTGGAGAATGCTAGCAGAATATATATTTACCTTTTTTGCAAATACCAACCCCTGTCCAACCATATCAGCAATACCCGAGTGCCTACCATTATATACACGGTAGCCATTCAAAAGACATGGGGGCCAAAAAAAATAAAATCATTGGCAAAGGATACCATTACGTTTCCATTTCTAATATCCAACCCCCCAATGATATTTGTAACACCGTAATAATATCGAACTCTATTTGTATCTGTAGCAAGGAAAATGCATGGGCACCATAAGATCCGAGTTATTTATGCAAAAGTAGTATTATCGAGGATTAGGCGTATGCATGCGTCTACTGGCATTTGCTTATATAGATATCCAATGTTATCCCTATTATCCTTCGTACATCTTGCCGCGACGTAGTAAACGTCATTTGGAGACTTTGCTTGGTACGAGGAGGAATTAACCCGCATTAAAATCCGATGTTTAGGAAATCAGGGTCATGAACTGACGAGAGACGGGTGCGTGCGTCGCACAACGGATGACGATGCCTTGGGAAAAACTAGACTAGGCGTTTTTATGGGCCATCAAATTACGGCTACCACCCCATAAAATGCTTAAGCGAGCTTCCGTGCAAGTCTCTCAGCCACTACTGGCTAATGTCCCTCAGCGAATAGGTTGGCATCTCCTCACCTGTAGTACCAATGGCCATTCAAGGGAAGTGTTACTGCGGATATCCGCGCTCTCTAAATAATTTTTCCATTTACGATAATTTCACCCAGTGGCCGCGAGTTGAGCGTCGCGACGCCCTATCGACGCCACCAGCATATTCCTCCTAGATCCGACCTCTCAGGTATCCTATCTACTTTTTCCACTTGTCTGTCGTTTTTTTACACCTTTTATACGTAGTCGCATAAAGCATCCGCAGGGATGCTGGGTCCAGAGTGCAAAATGCCATTTGCAATCATAGCTGACTTTTTTGCAGCAGGGAAATATTCTGCGAGCTGTGCTTCCTTCCGCGACCGTGTTTGATTTATGATTCGAAGGCCTCGAGCTGTCTGAAAGGTTAAATTCTTGAATGTATATATGACAGATATTGCATATCTATACATTGGTCATGTGCACGTAATGAGTATATGGATGTAATGAAAAGTGTTGAAAAGGGTTGGCAACTGTATTGGGTGGAATATTTAGTGTGAACTGTACCTAAAATCGGGGTGTATCAATAGTCGGAGAATTTGAATGGAATTAACTCTTCTTATAGATCCGAAGATCTATGTGTAGGATAAATGTTTTAAACAGTAGTGCGAAATGCTGTATGAATAGGCTCGTTAATATTTCGTGACAATAATAATTGTCGCTCGTAATTCAATATTATAATTAAACCCTCGTAAGGTCTTGTTTTATTGCGTCAATTAATATGTGCCGTTAAAGTAATTGCTCGGTTGTGTTAGTCTAGTCGCACCTATAAAATATCATTGCCGAACCGTAGACTTTAGACACGCGACTTATAATTTTCACGTTGAAGATCAATAAATTCACCATTGAAATAAAACATTGGAGAACCGACTAAACACTGTGAGAAAATACCATAAAATCATAAAAGATATATATATATATATATATACCCACAGCACAGTTTCTTACTACCCTCATAATTCATCGACATCATCTGTACTTCGTTAATACACTTTGTCGCTTTTTAACACAAAGTTTAAGTCTCTTTCACACGACAAAGTTGCAGCTCGTAAACGACCCATTCACTCTTCTTTTCGTGTTCTAAGCCATAACCACGTTAATAGAATAGAAGTTAGTCCTTGCCATATGCAAGCGTGTATCTATTTACAATGCTTCCACTGTACGGACATGTGTACACATATGAGTTACCATATGCGTTGCGCGTATTCATCGAACGTTATCCGCGCTTGCTGATTACAAACGATGAGAATTAAATGTAAGAATAAACAGAACTCAATGACACGTATGTATGCATTTCACATGATAAACAGGCTTGCGCGATCACCCATTGATGTACGGAGTCACATATCGTAACCTTAATGAAAATTTAAAAGTCGTTCGCAATTCTGACTGTCAAATTAAATTGAAAGAAAAAACATTTGAAATTCGGTTCCCTCATCTCCAATCAGAATCATCGCTCTAGATTCGCCCCTAAAATTAGTCGCGGTCAACAAGCTACTAATTAGCCCGTGTTAAAATACAGGGTACGTGTATATATGTATACCAGCTAGGAAAATAGTTCAATTTTGTTGGGGCTGGTCAGCAAGGGTATATTGGGTTGCTTTGATCGCGTGAGATATCAACGAAGAGGCGATAGCTAACAATTCCCATTAGGGCCTGTTTACACGAGACGAAATTACTCAAAGTGGATGTATACGAGCTTGTATCGAGGGAGAGGAGATTAATTGAAGTCTCCGAAAGTGTCGATGATATATGATACTTCACGAGGACAAACTTTAAGCTTCTCCGGTGTGTTAAACGATTCTTATATAACCCGTATACAGGGAACGTGTTCGTTAAATGCAGTCCCGATGAATCTGAATTGCGTGAGTGCTCTCTATGCGTACGTTTACAGAATTTCTTCCGGTGACTCGTTTGGCTTCTTCTTGTGGCGTTGGTGGCAAATATATTATGCCTCTCGTAAAATTAAGTTTTTACGATCATTTTATGGACGCGCGCGGCCCGTCGATGCTCTTGGTACCTATAGGTGTGTATTTCTCACAGCTGGTCGAGGGCCCGTGCCGAGTTCCGTTCTCGTTCGTCACATTTGTTAACGGTAATTATAACTTTTTAGTATAATAAATTGTCACACTGCCCTCCTCACTTTATCACTTATGATAGCTGTATACACATGTACAGGTCATTTGTACTTGGCAAATGATAGATTTTTTATGTAAATAAATTAAAACACCAGAAATTGATATAGGTACGTGTAGAAGCGATGGTGGACACTGTGTTGAACCTTTGCTGGGTGAGAACGTACCGTTTGGTTATAAGGGCGCGGAGTATCTGCTGAAACGTGCCAAGAGGTCTTCCCTTGGTGTAAGGGCTGAAACTTTCACCAATAGCAAAAAATCATGGCTGGGGAAAAATGTCTCCAGGCAATCTAGGTCAACCTGGACCCACGGGGTGTCTTGCTTACTTTCACATTGGTTACAACTGCTATTGCTCTTTTGTAACGGGGAAACGGAATTGCATGAAAAAGCTAAGACAATCGAGTAAGATGCGAGGCGGTCAGGCGAGACGAACGTCTTGCCGTCATCCATCGGCGAGTATTTATTACGCGAAACGTCCGCGCCATATCGCAGATGGCGCGTTTGTCGATGCGTGAAAATCACAAGGATAGAAAAACCACGTGACCAGAATTCTGCTATTCGGTTAGTCGAACTTTTCTGAGAAACTTAAGACTGCTCTCTCTGTATTTAATTACTTCCACCTCGTGAAACGTTATGACGTAGTTTTTACTTTTTATCCCGAGTATTTCTGTATCGATTAAATCAACTGGGGTATCCGTCTTATGGTACACGGGACGCTGGAAAATGGCTGAGAAGTTTGTCGAGAGTCGTTCGACAGGGGGCGTTGAGAGGTGAGGGGAGGGGCTCGCTGAAATCTTCAAAGTGGAAATTCGATTCGAAACGATAAAACTACGTCCCTGCGGGATTTCATGCTGAAACTATTTCCTTGTATAAACTTTTCGTTTTGTCGCGAACACTCCTGCTTGTATCATCGGATATATTTTGTTACTTTAAATGCATCGAAACTGAGCACGGAAGTATCGCGAATGTAGACGTTATTGTTGTAGATAAAATTTTAAGAATTCAGCATACGCGTATGCTACCGCCATCTATAGCTCAGGGATTAACTAGTCTGAATCGATCCACATAAGTCTTACTATAGCAAGAAAACTTGGAGAATGAAGATTTCCTGGAAAATTACGACTTTGAAAACACCGTATACTTTCCCGTAGAAACAATTCTCAAAGTAATTTCCTAGCATGGAAATAAATGACTCGGAATATATATCCTTGTACAAATTAAATATATAAAGACAAACAATTACGGTCCAGAGCTTAAATTTTGTCGATCACGTTTTTCTTTGAATATATCGAAATATTTATAAAATTCAGCAATTCCGCTCTGTATCGGTTTTTAAGAATGGGCAGCCATCTCACTCGTATAAGACCGTCTGTCTTACCGTACAGATAATATCCTGCTTTCGTATCACACCAAACGCGTCATTTATAATTCATGCTGCAAGCTCAGTCGGGAACCGCGATCCCTGGATCCGACGGCCCTGGTTACTCGCAACTAAATCTAGAGGTAGGTGGAGTATGGATAGGGCGGTATTCATGGTGACGTATAGCCATAGGTTCTGACTTCTTTTGATATATGTATATATATATATAATGGTATAACAGCTACATATATACAAGCTACGGCGTCCACGTTATATACACGTTCAGTGCAGCCGACGTGTGTAACATAAATATACAAGAGCAGGAAGAGAAGAAGGCTATCTCGAAGAAAGGACGGAGGAGGGAGAGAGGAGAGTAAAGACGAGGAAGAGAGAAGCTGAGAAACGTGAAGAGACGATGACGTGCGCGCTCCATAGCGAAGGCTATGCCGAGACTGAGCTTGAGCTTCAGGCTGAGCTGTACCGGGGGATCATATTATTTTGGTTGAATTATTTATAGAGCGCTCCAAGAAGCCAATGTATAGCTGATACGCCTTCTTCTAGGTGTATCGTATAGGGATACCTGAGTATATGAGGTGATACCTATGGGCACCTATATGGGTAAAGATATAGCCTCTACGTATCATGGTATCATATTCAACCATCCTTCGTATCGTATGACTGATTTTGTAGCCTGATAACGTTTCTGAAGATGATTGGATGAAAAATTCTGACGTAACTTTATTCCATCGAAAATAAGGGTTGGATTGTTTTCTGTCTTAT